TGGTGGGAGCCTGGTTGATCAGGCCTGGTCACAGACCGGGCCACGGGGGCGTTGACCCCTGAAACCAATTCCAGGTATACTCCGGGTATTGACTGTAAAATCAACAGTAGTCTCGGTCTTAGGACCAGAAACTCTACTGAGTACTTTATCATAATCATAATTTTTAAATGGGGTGGAATGGTAAACCAGTGGAAGGCCTCGATCGGATAACCAAAATCTCCAGCTGTGGGTCATCAGCTGACTGAGACCCGCGTCAGGAGACACTTGTCGTGTTTCCTGACGAACCTTACCTAACCTAACCTTATCGAGGGGGGGGGTACTTCAGTGCCGGTGAAAAGAATCTAAATCTATGGAACCGGAGCTATCCTCAGTATATTTTTCCTGGACCATATCTCACCGTCTTCCATTAACAAGGTGTTGTATAACCCCTATTAATTTTCAGCTTCCATAATAATAGTTAAAATTAACAACAGTAATGACGTTAATATAAGCAACAGCAGCAACAATAATACCCTAACCTTTCCTCTCAGAATCTGGGTCAACATCCAGTGCTGTGGAGAAGAGTGTAAACAGTTCTAGGGGTGACTGCAGCAGCTGGCTCAGATGCGAAGAATATACCCTGAGAAGTGCATGTATATACACCAAGAGGTGTGTATTTCGGTGTATATGCACCGAGATATGTATATCTCTGTGTATATACACCGAGAGGTGTGTATCTCAGCTTTGATCGAAGTGGAGGGTGGCTCGAACTCCTCAGATCAAGAACTCTTCATTAACATCCCAGATGGGACAGAATAGGTAACACGCTCCCCAGATGACAAAGAAAAGTGGCGGTCTAATAAAGTTACTGGACAACGAGTTTGTTTTTACTTTCAGTAAAGGTGACGAGTTTATTGCCCTCAAACGTCCTAATATGGGACAACGATATATCTGTGACATACACAGCTGGGTATCTGTGACATATATATATACCTGAGATAGGCCCAGCGAGCACACTGGGCAATAGAGCATCATAAGCGGCAAGCATCTCTTGACCACACGATGCTGAAGGTTCCCCACTATTGCCTGCCTCCCTGTTTTCCTCCAGGCATTGGTGCCTGTTTCTCAGCTTGTGTGTTTGCTTGTGTGTCTACCTGTTTGTCTGCATGACTGCGTGTTTGTCTACATGTCTGTGTCTGTCTATATATCTTTTAGTCTATAGCTCTGCCTGTGTACCTGTTTGCCTGAATATATCTCTGTCTATCTCTCTATCTATCCATATGTCTGTCTATTTGCATGTCCATTATACGTCTGCCTGCTTTCCAACATGTCTGTCTGCCTGTTTGCCTACAAGTCAAGTAATCTGTGTATATGTGTGTGTACTCACCTAGTTGTACTCGCCTAGTTGTGGTTGCAGGGGTCGATCCACAGCTCCTGTCCCTGCCTCTTCACTGGTCGCTACTGGGTCACTCTTTCTGTTTCGTGAGCTTTATCGTACCTCTTCTTAAAGTATGTATGGATCCTGCCTCCACTACATCACTTCCCAGGCTATTCCACTTCCTGACAACTCTGCGACTGAAGAAATACTTCCTAACATCCCTGTGTTTCATCTGAGTCTTCAATTTCCAATTGTGACCTCTTGTTGCTGTGTCCCATCTCTGGAACATCCTGTCTCTGTCCACCTTGTCAATTCCTCTCATTATATTATGTCTTTATCATATCCCCCCTATCTCTCCTGTCCTCCAGTAGGTCGATTTCCCTTAACCTCTTCTCGTAGGACATGCAGCTTAGTTCCGGGACTATTCTTATTGCAAACCTTTGCACTTTCTCTAGTTTCTTTACGTGCTTGGCTAGGTATGGGTTCCAAACTGGTGCTGCATACTCCAATACAGGCCTGACATACACGGTGTACAGGGTCCGGAACTATTCTTTATTGAGATGTCGGAATGCTATTCTTAGGTTAGCTAGGCGCCCATATGCTGCAGCAGTTATTTGCTTGATGTGAGCCTCAGATGTGCCCAGTGTTATACTTACCCCAAGATCCTATTCCTTGAGTGAGGTTTGTAGTCTCTGGCCCCCTAGACTGTACTCCGTCTGCAGCCTGTCCAGATTCCTTTGTAGTTCCGCCTGGTTCTCGTCCGATTGAATTCTTCTCATCAACTTCACATCATCTACAAACAGGGACACTTCTGAGTCTATTCCTTCCGTCATGTTGTTCACATATACTAGGAAAAAGCACCGGTCCTAGGACTGACCCCTGTGGAACCCCGCTCGTCACAAGTGTCCACTGTGTGTGTACTCACCTCACCTAGTTGAGGTTGCGGGGGTCGAGTCCGAGCTCCTGGCCCCGTGTGTGTGTGTGTGTGTGTGTGTGTGTGTGTGTGTGTGTGTGTGTATCTGTATCTGTGCGTGTATGAGTATCACAATCTCCAAGCTCTCTACCTAAAACGGAACAGAATAAGAAAGAAAAAAACCGAACTGACCCTGGTTTTTATTGCCTCCCCGTTCAGATTATTACGACTCATGTGAGACGAGCAACTCATCCTGACTGCGTTACTCGGTCCTGCAACGCTGCTGACAAACGTGGAGATTTCAGTGTTTCCCTGATTACACTTCAGAGGATTTAACACGCTACACCCTATAAATTTATACAATGAATAAATGATGCTAAATCTACTCCTGTACATCCTCTCGTGATTAAATCAATGGTATAATACCGACAAGTTGATGACTAAGACATGTGCAATATTATTGTCTTCCTCGTTCTTAGTGTTACTTCGATAAATTTGCCGCGACACTTTCTAGCAACAAAGAATAGCTTCTCAGAAAGTAGGTAACAGCTATCGAAAACTAGAAAAGAATCAACGACTGTTTTCAGATCAAGAGGTATAAATAACAGCAGTCCTCAGGTTAATATATCCTTGGTAAGGCCTCATTTAGATTATGTTACGTAGTTCTGGTCACCGTATTACAAAATGGGGATTAGTGAGCTGGAAAACATACAGAAAAGGAGGACAAAGTTGATCCCATGTATCAGAAATCTTTCCTACGAGGATAGACTGAGGGCCCTGAATCTACACTCTTTAGAAAGGCGTAGAATAAGAAGGGATATGACTGAGGTGTATAAATGGAAGACAGGAATAAATAAAGAGGACATAAATAACGCCCTAAAAATATTTAATCAATACAAGATGAGAGTAAGACACATGTGCAACATCTGGGTATCTTTATTGTAGACGTTTCGCCATCCAGTGGCTTTATCAATACAAATTCCAGGACATAACTTGAAGACAGTAGAACTATGTACAGAAGATGAGGTAATCAGTCCCTCAACCTAGGAGTAGGTGCGAAGAGCACCATAGTCGTGGAGATTACCTCATCTTCTGTACATAGTTCTACTGTCTTCAAGTTATGTCCTGGAATTTGTATTGATAAAGCCACTGGATGGCGAAACGTCTACAATAAAGATACCCAGATGTTGCACATGTGTCTTACTCTCATCTTGTCGGTATTGTATACCATTCGTACACATCTTTATTGTAGACATCAACAACAAAAAAACAAATTGTTGTATATGTCTAATTTTTCATCAAGTAATGTAATGGTGAATACAATCATAAGTAATCATAAGTATCACAATTTACAATCATTCCTCAGATGGTGGAAGTATTCGGGTCACTGTATGTAGAACACCTAGGATGATGGTGGGACGTGGGTGTATGTGAGAGGATGTGTGGGTGTTGGGAAGGAAGAAATATGGAGGATCTTGGAAATAAATGGTATTAAATACCGACACAATGGAAATATAAACACATATGCAGTATAATATGATCCTTTATTTGTTTGTGACTTGGAAAAAGCCCACTGTGTGGGCAAAACGTTGTCAATAAAGTATCACATTATACTGCATATGTGAGATTAAGACACATATGCAACATCTGGGTATCTTTATTGTAGACGTTTCGCCATCCAGTGACTTTATCAATACAAATTCTAGGACATAACTTGAAGATGTACAGAAGATGAGGTAATCAGTCCCTCAACCTAGGAGTAGGTGCGAAGAGCACCATATGTGTTTATATTTCCATAGGGAGGATCTTACAGAAGTTGAAGGAGGTATGGAGGAGGGTAGGGAGAGTGTGGATGGAGCAAGGGGCGCCCAAGGAGTGAGGAAGGGACATGGTACAATCCACTACACGTCCTTCTTTTGTCCTCTAGACTCCTTCCTTAAAGAGCTGTCTCATTAAGTCCTTAAAGGAGGCATCTGCAGAGGAAAAGGAGGATGCGTCTTCTCCCCACCTCTCAGCCACAGTGCAGGTCCCTCTCAATTTCAACCCACCCAACATTCTCCTCCCTATATACAACAGTGGGCGTTCAAATGAGCTGATGTAGGTAACAGGTCTTAGCCCGTAATTAAAGTCAGGAATCTTAGCCTAACCTTGTAAAACCCTGAGAGGGTGTGGGTGAGAGAGAGAGAGAGAGAGACTACATTCATCCTGTACGCTCCAGCTAAGTCTCTCTTAGCTAATCTAGTCTTCGTGTCTGCTTGTTTGAACCTCATCTTCGTACATTAGGACCAATGATTACTCTGAGGCCGGGAGTCGCTGTTATGACGTGTGGCTGGACGAGTGTTTGGGGGATGGAGGAAAGGAGAGTGGTGCTACAAGTACATGATACAATTTATCTTTTACTCTATACGCCATAGGATCTACGGTATCAGGACTGCAGTCACCTATCCCCGGCTATAGGATAATATCACAGTGCAATATATCATTAGTATTCAAGACGACAAGATGTAAACTCACGCCAAATATACGCTGAGATAAATGCACCTCCCAGGGTGTATAATGAGTCGTACGACGAATCAGAATATAAATCCCATATCAATCTATGAATTATAGGCACCGTTGTATTGAAGGAAAAAATTACACAAACAGGGTTTAGTTGAGTATACTTTATTACTAAATTTACTAACAATACTAAGAATACTAACAATACCAAGAAATTATATGATTTTCCACTCTAACAATAGTGTACTAACTGCTACGTGAACTAGGGCATCAGATGAAATGCGTCTCTACATTATAATCATTGCCAGTAGCGGCTCTGTACTCCGTAAAGTTGAATTTGTCCCGAGGACATATCCAGCACCGTGTGTGGCCAACATGTCTGGTCAGCATCAAGATGCTTCTGGGTATCTTCTCTTGTCTGTGCTTGTGGCAAAACTACTGGGGCCCTCATGTTTCCCAGACTAGAACGTAGAGAGAGTTTGACAGCCATCATTTCCCCGGATTCTATGCTTGATATCAGCACTTTGCCGAGACACATAACAGGATGGTCTATCGTGAGGGAAATCTCATGGGGAGAATCTTGATGGCGTTCTAATGCCAGAGTTGTGGTCGTGGTCCTATCAGCAGTAACTGAAACAAACCTCTACAGGAGAGAAAAAAAATTAATAAGCTCTTTGTAAAATATTAAACTGTTTAACAAAACTTAGAAAAAGGTTTTTAGTCACTAAACTAATAAATAATTAGTATAATTTTTTTCAGAATAGAATAAAATTAACTTTAGGGGAAATTACCCGGATAAAATTATAAAAGCCTGGGGACAGTTGGTCCCACAGATGAGGGGGTACTTGTACCTCCTCCCATGGGAGACTTAGGTCTCGAGATACTCCCCAGATAGGGAGCCAAGGCCGGGTCACCACTACCTGGAAAAGACCCGGACCGGGAGAATACCGGCGAATAAAAAAAAAAAAACCTAGACAAGGACCCAAGGCCGGGCCACCATACCTGCAAATCAAATAGAAGTTAGTTAGTTAGTTAAAGATTAGCCGGTATTCTCCCGGCCCGGGCCTTGTCCAAGTGGTGGCCCGGCCTTGGCTCCCTCTTTAGGGAGTGTCTGAGACCTAAGTCTCCCATGGGAGGAGGCACAAGCACCTCCTCATCTTTGGGACCAACTGTCCCCAGGCCTAGCCACAAGCTAGGCCTCTCTGGTCTGCCATCCCCGCCACAAGGGGGCAAATGGGAATGACAGTCTTATGAGCTAAAGGCTCGGACTCAGGCACCTACCCTACGATCAATCAAATAGAATAGAAAATGAAATACCTTGAATGGAAAACAGCGTACAAACAGCTGGATCAACATCAGAATCAACAGTATAGCTGCTATGGACGTGGCTGCAATAACAAGGAGCTCATAATTAATGGACATATTTGCTATTATCACGGCCAGAAGTAAGAGTGACGAGTACTTGAAGTTCGTGCGGGAGACTTACTACCCGATGTGTCAAGATCAGTAGTGATGAGGGTGTTCACAGCTCTTGTTGTTCTTATACCGGGAGTGTGACCTCGCAGCTGACCTCATGATGATGTCACGTGCATAACTCCCTCAGCCAAAGGAGGAACACTGCAACTGGCCTTTGTAGATGAATGGTTCAGAGAACTGACAAGTTGATAAATTAGATACATGTGCAACATTTGGGTATCTTTGATGAGGAAAAACGTTTAGCCACACAGTGGCATCATCAGTCCATACAAAGTCCATCAGTCCATACTGGCCTATACTATGTGCCAACAGGCCTGCTGCAGTGTTCCTCCTTTCTTATGTTCTTATGTAAGTTCTTACCTGGTTCGACACCCTCAGTATTTATTATCACTTTTGTTTATGCCCATCATCCATTAATACACTCCAATGATATCTCCCTAACAATATCTCATAAGTAAGGCCTCACTTAGATTATGCAGCTCATTTCTGGTCTCCATATTACAGATTGGACAAATATATGAGTGGGAGGGGCTGGGTTTGGTTGGTGTCGTGGGTACAGGAGTAAATTAAGAACATAAGAACATAAGAATGTAGGAACACTACAGAAGGCCTACTGGCCCATACGAGGCAGGTCCTTATCAAAACGACATGTACCTAAAGCTACCCAAGAAATAACTCCCGTACCCCGTGACACCAATCAAACCCAGCCCCTTCCACTCATATATTTGTCCAGTCTCTTCTTAAAGCTACCCAAGGTCCTAGCCTCTATCACCCCACTGGGAAGACTGTTCCACGCATCTACAACTCTTTTTTTTTTGTAGGTGAATGGTTCAGAGAACCGACATGTTGATAAATTAGACACATATGCAACTCTTGGGTATCTTTATTGAGGAAACGTTTCCTCAATAAAGATACCCAAGAGTTGCATGTGTCTAATTTATCTACAACTCTGTTAGAAAACCAGTACTTACCTATGTCCTTTCTAAATCTAAATTTATCCAACTTAAATCCATTATTCCTGGTTTTTACCTGGTTCGACACCCTCAGTACTTTATTAATGTAAAGTAAAAGGACACAAGTGCAACTAATGTGACATTTATTGAGGCAACGTTTCGCTCTCCAGGAGCTTTATCAAGCCATTACAAACAATACATGGACACAGAGGGTATATAAAGGCTCAGAGTGAGGTGTAATACTAGTGAGGTACCATTTCGATGTTCACTAGTGGTAGTAGTGGTAGTAGTAGTAGTAGTAGTAGTGACAAAAGTAATACCTCAATAAAGATACCCAAGATTTGCACATGTGTCTAATTTATCAACATGTCGGTTCTCTGAACCATTCATCTACAAAAAGTAATACAATATGGAGGAGCAATTAATTCGTACAAGAGTAAAAGGATATAAAAGCTATTACTTGGGTAACATAAAAATAGGTTGGACAAATATAGACTGGAAAGAGGCAGCTTGTTTCAGTGTTCACTCTCTGTAATGTGCTTTGTGTAGTATAACAGGAGAGACTATGTGATGGCAGGGTTTACTGTTTTCAGGAGGATTCTTGCTAAGACTTCGGAGATGGTGAAGCTGCCGTTGTTTTGTTTAATTGTATTCGAAACAGCGATCAGTGCTGATTCAAGGCACTTGCGTCTGCGGAAATTAGTTTCTTTGATCACTAATTGGGCGTCTCTGAATTTCATGAGATGATTTTGGTGGGAATTTCGGTGTTGTACACAGGCGTTGTTAAGTTGTCGTTCCTACATGCGTAAATGTGTTCATTGAGGCGGGTGTCGAGGTTTCTTGCTGTTTCACTACGTAGATCTTGTCACAGCCTCCACAGGGTATAGTGTAAACTCCTGCATTGACTGGTTCGTGGTGCTTGGGTTTTGTCCTGGTTAGATCCTTTATTGAAGTGGTAGAAGCGATGGCGACTCTGGTGTTAGCTTGTGAAAGTACTTTTGAGACGTTTAGTGCAACCTGGCTGTTGGGAAGAATTATAACTTTGTTGGGAGCGGTGTTGATGCGTGGAGAATTGATGATCTGAAGAGCTCTTTTCTTGCAGTCTTTGATGAAAAAAGAAGGAAATTGTAACTCAGTGAATGTATGGTGAATGTAAGTGCATTCCTCGTCAAGAAACTCGTCTTACCTAAACAAACTCAGGGCTACAAATTCATAAGAACATAAGAATGTAGGAACACTGCAGAAGGCCTACTGGCCCATACGAGGCAGGTCCTTATCAAAACGATCTCTACCTAAAGCTACTCAAGAAACAACTCCCGCACCCCCAACACCAATCAAACCCAGCCCCTCCCACTCATATATTTGTCCAGTATGCTCTTAGGAAAAACCCGATGATGATGCCTCTTTTGGTCTTGGTATCTTGACTGGAATAATAAAGTTAGTAGAATTACCGACAAAAAGTAAAAGGACACAAGTGCAACTAATGTGACATTTATTGTGGCAACGTTTCCACAATAAATGTCACATTAGTTGCACTTGTGTCCTTTTACTTGACTGTAATAGAAGTGTGTGAGATCATTTTTGATAAATTAGACACATGTGCAACTCTTGGGTATCTTTATTGAGGAAACGTTTCGCCACACAGTGGCTTCATCAGTCCAAACGTAGGAGAAACTTGAAGAACAGGAGGAGAATGAGGTAATAAGAACATAAGAACATAAGAAAGGAGGAACACTGCAGCAGGCCTGTTGGCCCATACTAGGCAGGTCCTTTACAATTCATCCCACTAACAAACATTTGACCAACCCAATTTTCAATGCCACCCAAGAAACAAGCTCTGATGTGCAAGTCCCTCTCAAATCCAACCCCTCCCACTCATGTGCTTATCCAACCTAAATTTGAAACTACCCAAAGTCCTAGCCTCAATAACCCAACTAGGTAGACTGTTCCACTCATCAACTACCCTATTTCCAAACCAATACTTTCCTATGTCCTTTCTAAATCTAAACTTATCTAATTTAAATCCATTACTGCGGGTTCTCTCTTGGAGAGATATCCTCAAGACCTTGTAGTGATGAACTGAACACATCGAATCCAGGTTGAGGGACTGATTACCTCATACTTCTACTCTCCTTACCCATTTCTACTTTGTATTGGACTGATGAAGTCACTGTGTGGCGAAACGTTTCTTCAATAAAGATTCCCATGTGTTGCATAAGTGTCTCAATTCTTCAACTTGTCGGTTTTCAAAACCATTCATCACACTTCCACTAGTATTACACCTCACGGCTTGACAAAGCTCCTGGAGAGCGAAACGTTGCCACAATGAAATGTCACATTATAGATGAATGGTTCACAGAACCGACACGTTGATAAATTAGACACATGTGCAACTCTTGGGTATCTTTATCTTTCTGTGAACCATTCATCTACAATCCTGTCAGACACTGCAACTTCTTGGGATCTTAATACTTGGGAATTCTTCGCTTGGGCACGACCTACTTCCACAGTGAACAAATGTGACACCATCTACAACTGCTGCACCTCTCCTGCCTACGGTTTATAAGCTCCTTCTCCGCTCATATGCCGTATTCTATTCAAGATTGATGGACTGACCACATCGACTCAAGGTTGAGGGACTGGTTACCTCATTCTCCTCCTGTTCTTCAAGATTCTCCTATGTATGGACTGATGAAGCCACTGTGTGGCGAAATGTTTCCTCAATAAAGATACCCAAGAGTTGCGCATGTGTCTAATTTATCAGTGGTGGTTTTGTTAAGGACCTGCCTTATATGGGCCAGTAGGCCTTCTCAGTGTTAGGTGACAGATAACACACGCACATATAAAAGGCCGATGGAACTGCGCCTTTCTTTCATGAGATGTAACAATGGACATGGACAGTAACGTCTATCTATATTTCACTATGGCTCCACTCGTCGCTTTGTTCTTCATGCAGTGGTTAATTTTCTGCTGCCGCAGGGTAATACTATAACTCTGAATATGTGCAATGTTATTACCCAGATGTTGCATTTATCAACTTGTCGTTTTTCTAACACCGATTATTCTCATGCTAAGCAATGTTATGTCGAATATGTAATTAAGACATTGTTAATTCACGTATTTGTAACTAGATAATATTTTCCTTTATGTAGGGGAAAACGTTCCAGCCGGTCGCCCCTCGCCAGCCAGAGCAACCTGGGCCTGGCCATCCTCCTTCCCCGACCACCACAACCCTCTCCTGCATGAATTGCTTCTTCTTTAAATCTTCCAACAACACCACCTCTACTGACTACTACCACATCGAAGTTCGCTCTCCTTTCCACAAGGGCCGTCGTTCTGGCAACACCCACGTACACATGAAGTCTCCTCATCCCTCGTCTCATTACTCCTCCATCGAGTCGGTTTTCGACAGAGAGAGGTCGTGCAGTGACGAATCCTTTGCAGCTTTCTTGGACAGGAATAATTTGAACCACGAGTTTGTCCAACCTGTACATGAAACGCTGGGGCCATCCCAGCGTCCATGGCACTCAGTAGAGGATTTCAGGAATGAGAGACCCGCTTACTACAGGCCAGTAATCAACTATGATGCCCATGCACTTCCTTCCTACTGGGTGATTAACGAGACAATTGTTTGAGCTCAGCCATAAATAGATATTTAGCTTTCTTTGATATGATTTTAAGTGCTCTAGTCTGTAAGTGGAAAGGTACAAAGTTCCAACATGTTTAAGCCTTTATTGTAAAGTTTTCACCATTGTATTTTTCCGTATATGTGCAATATTAAAGTAGTTTCCCAATAGTAATTTGTGAAAGAAAACGTTTTTATCCAACTGAGGTAGAGAAAATGCGACATAATGAGTAACTAGTCTAAATGTATGTTGTCTACTTTTTTTTATCATATTGTCTGATTTAATTCTGAAATTGTTTCACTTGTTATTGTTAAACCCACAGAAAGGTTTCTTTATTCCCGGATACGTTTTAATGAGTAAATTTTCCA